GGTTGTAATCCAGATGTAGTTGCATCGAGACCTTATCAAACATCTGATTCAACAATGACTCATACAAATAATGTAATGCATCATGATAATATGCAACAACAACAACAAAGACCATGTCGTTGTGCGCAAATACCATGTTGTTGTGGGAATAATGTAATGCATCATGATAATATGCAACAACAACAACAACAAAGGCCATGCCGTTGTGGGCAAAGACCATGTTGCTGTGGGAATAATGTAATGCATCATGATAATATACAACAACAATATCAACAACAACAACAACAAAGAACATGTTGCTGTGATCAGCAAAGATCTGAATTAATTGATCCATGTGCAAATATGTATCGTCGTTATGATATGGCAACACCATGTGAAAATACTAAAGAAGTTTATTATACAACAGTTGCATCAAATAGCTAAATAATTACGTCTTTTTATGACATTTTTAAAGACAACTATCATCAGAAAATTAATGAGACGTAGAAGATCGGTACTGTCTATTCTATTAAAATATTTATAAATATATATATTTTTTTTTATTCTTTATATTTATATAATACAAAAACAAAAATTTCATATTTTTATCAGTTCTTTTCTATATAATAATAGAACTTATCTATACTGAAAGGATACAATTCTGAAAAGTTGAATAAACAATATTTGTCAAGAAGAGACAAACGGTTGATAATTACTATAGCAGATTCTAATGCGTACATGCATTTTGTCAATCGATTTCATACAAAATATTACGAAGCTAACAATCTTAATTGATTGATAAGAAGGAAATCGTATATATAATTTCCTATTTCTACGGATAAACGAAAGAAGTTTTTACTTTATTTTCTGTAGGATATTTAATGGAAAGTCAAAAAAATTAAAGGTAAATGTTGCATTCGTAATCTCTCCTGATGCAGCAACGGCTTTCTGTTCTTGCTAAGTCTTATTAATGTAGTCAATAATTCCATAAGCATAGCAGAACTAAAGAGCATTCCGGCTTCATTTATTTGAAACCAAGAATTCAGAAAAACGATTTATCATCTCTTAAGATGAGTATTCAGCAAATTTCTACGAAAAATATTTACAAACTAATGATATTTTTACTATGTCATCATCCATGTATGTGTAAAAGTTACTTTTCGATCAGTTAATCCAAATTCGTTACTAAATCGCCCACATCTACATTCGCAAGAGAGTCTGTACAAATCTAAAGAAGATAGAGACATGATGAAGACTTTTCTGTCGATTTCATTTATTTTTTTTATGTTTGTTAATAATAAATGCACATTTTTTTACAAGTTTATTTTTGTTATCTACATCATGGTCATATACAGGTTTTTAGTCGAAAGAATTCATTGTAAAGACTCATAAAAGCTTGTATAAACATTTTTTTACTTCGAATTCTGATAACACAGGTATGATTCTACACTTTTTTCCTCAACGCAAATAAAACACTTATTTTTCGTGGGTTATCTTGATGTTTGCCAAAGATATAACGATATATCACCATTTTGCTTTCTTCGTTCTTTATTTGGTTTTTTTTTATAGCAGCTTCATAAATAGTTAAATAGAGAAAAAAAATATTTCGAAAGGAAGTAGATAACTATAAAAAGAATTGCTTTGGATCATTACTTCACTAGTAAATTTTACACAGTAACTCCAAGTCAAACCATTCACGTAGCAAACAATGAGCAAAGAAAAATCAACAACAAATGCATCTATAGTTCCAAAAGATGTAGAAGGTCGTCGACGTATCAATATCCAACATATGCAAAATGTTCTTCTAATGTGGTTAGACAGTAACATTGATAAAACAAATGGTGATTGTCAAAATAAAATCAAAAAATTACGATGTGTTGTTAATGACATCAGTACATATACTGATGGTGACCAATGCCTTGAATTCATTCAAACCATCGTCGATAACAAAGTATGTATGATTATATCAGGATCACTTGGACAACATATTGTACCTCGTGTACATAATATGCCTCAAGTTGATTCAATATTTATTTTTTGTAGTAATAAAAAATACCATGAACAATGGACCAAAGATTGGTCCAAAATAAAGGGTGTCTTCACAGAGATCACACCCATCTGTGAAGCACTCAAAGAAGCTGCTCATCAATGTGAGCAGAATGCCATTCCCATGAGTTTCGTGGGATCAAATAAAAAGTTGGATCAATTAGATCCTTCTTTTATGTACACTCAGATCCTCAAGGAGATCATATTAACTATCAAGTTCGAACAAAAACACAACGAAGATTATCTTAATTACTGCCGTGATGCTTTCAAAGATAATAAAAAAGAACTTGAAAACATTAAACAATTGGAAAGTCAATATCATAATAAAACACCCATTTATTGGTACACCTGTCAAATGTTCTTGTATCCCATGCTTAACCGTGCATTACGATTGATGGATGGTGATATCATCACGCGTATGGGTTTCTTCATCAGTGATCTACATCGACATATTGAACAACTGCACAAGGAACAATATGCTGGTACAACTGCTGCTAACACCTTTACCGTTTATCGTGGTCAAGGTTTATCGGCAGGAGATTATGAACAAATGAGAAAAATTAAAGGTGGTCTTATTTCATTCAACAGCTTCTTATCTACTAGTAAAGATCAAAATATTTCACTGGGTTTTGCTCAAGATGCTACAACAAATCCAGATCAAGTCGGCGTACTTTTTGTCATGGAAATCAATCCTACTCAATCAACAACACCATTTGCTTCTATTGCTGGTATTAGTAACTTCGAAGGAGAAGAGGAAGTTTTATTTTCGATGCATAGCGTTTTCCGTATACAGGATATTAAACAGATGGGTGGAAGCAATCGTTTATATGAAGTTAACTTGGTACTGACTGCTGATAACGATCCAGAATTAAGTAGACTTACTGATTGCATTCGAAAAGAGAGTTATCCAGATGAAGAAGGATGGGTGCGGCTGGGTTTAGTACTATTAAAAATGGGTCAATTTGACAAAGCTGAAGATGTTTATCAAGTTTTACTTGATCAAGCAACAGACGATGAAAACAGGGCACCTATTTATATTCATGTTGGTGCGATCAAAGATGATCAAGGAAAATATCAAGAAGCACTCACATTCTATGAAAAATTACTTGCTATCTATCAAAAAAAATTCCCTTCCAATCATCCTAATCTGGCTTTTCCCCACAACAACATTGGTGTAATGCATGAAAACATGGGTAATTATCCTAACGCACTTTCATCTTATGAGAAAGCTCTTCAAATTTGGCAGCAATCACTTCCTCCCAATCATCCTCATTTGGCTACTTCCTATAGCAACATTGGTAATGTGCATAAAAACATGGAAAATTATCCAAAAGCATTTTCATCTCACGAAAAAGCCCTTGAAATTCAACAACAATCACTTCCTCCCAATCATCCTAATTTTGCTTCTTCCTACAACAACATTGGTGCAGCGCATGACAAGATGGGTAATTACTCAAAAGCCCGTACATTTTATGAACATGCTATACAAATTGGACAACAATCATTACCTTCATGTCATCCTCATCTTGAAATATATAGAAATAACCTCGAACGTGTAAAAAACAGATTATAAATTGTATTGTTATGAAGTTTTTTATGAAAGAGAAAATAATAAACTTTTTAAACAAGAAAAGAGTTGTTTGAAATACGCGTGCGTACAGAGAAACTCTGATCTTGTTGAGACACAAATGGATGGTAATACCCATCGGTAAGGTAAACAATACATATCAATAGATATGTATTATAGAAAAAGACCTTCACGATATATAATTGTTGTGTTTGAACAAGGTAGAATTTCGCTATGTTAGGTAAGAAAAAGAACGGCCACTCAACAGGCTGTTTAAAGTAACAAAGAGAGAGAGAAAAAGAACTATAGTTATTCAGTTTGATAAATTGTTTTTTGTTCCAATAAAAACAATAATTCATATGTATTGAATAAATAAGCGAAAGATAGAAAAATAAATGATTTCTTTAGATATGAACACACTATGAAACAGGTTAGTATGTTAACATGAATAGAAAACATTTCTCTACTCAACTCAATTGAATAAAATGAACTGAGTACATACATAGTGTCATTATACGTGATATGCAACGAAGAAAAAAGTCATTCAATATGATAATTGCATTCAAAGAAATAAATAATATTTTAAAGAAACCATTGTTCTTTTATTAAACACAAAATCAATATACATAGATAAAAAGATACAATCAAATGATTTTGATTGAATATTATTTAAATTCATGTTTAATATTTACTAATCAATTAAGAATACAATAAAAAATAGTAATTTTAGTGTTAGTATTATTCATAATTTTGTCTTTTGTTATCGTAAAAATGATGACGGCGAAAAATTCTCCAATAAACTTCAGATATAGAATTTTTTTCTCATAAGTATGAATAGATGGGATCGTAGTGCTGTACCTAAATAGTGTTCCTCGTTAGTTCAACAATATTGAAGACACAATCTACCCCAGTTGAACACTATTGAATAAAATTTTCCATCTATCAAAACTATTCGATACCACACTTTTTACGGTTTAGCACTATCGAATAAAAACATTTTTTGTCCATTATCATCGGGCAAAAGTCGATACGTCATTAATACTGGAAATAACTTGTCGGAGCTTCATTATTATTATATAGAACCTCAACCGGCTTTCGCATGTACTGCAGAGCTACATAGTGCTTTTCTAAAAGCTGCATAGTTTTCTCACATTAGCATCACATCCGTCGTCACGTATAAAAAATTATCATCACAATACACATTAAGTTTAAGAACACCAGTTAGTTTTATTTAATGCTTTCGCCAAAAGTACAACATAAAACAAAATATGTAGATGAATATCACAAGCTATTGACTCCTCCCCCAATTATATTTAACATTAGTATTCACGATTTTCTTTCTCTTTAGTTCCGTTCAAGAAATTCCACGATCTCTTGCATCACGTCATCTTCGATTTCCTTATTGTCGAGATATAATGTGGTGAGTGTCTACACAAAAAAGTGGAGATAAATGTATGATATAGCTACGACGTGAATCACAATTACTGTGTTGTGTCTTAAGGCATTACACAGATGTTGTGCTCCAGCATGTCCGATCTCGTTACGTTGCAGATTTAGTGTGGTGAGTGTCTACATGAAAAAATACAGGTAAAGAGACGACATCGATAAAGAGAGAATGAAAGATACTGTGTTGTGTTGTAATCCATGGGCCAAATGTTGTGCTCCATCATCTCGTATTTTATTGTGGTAGAGATCCAGTGTGGTGAGTGTCTAGATGAAAAAGTAGAGGCAAATGTAAGGTACAGATGAAGAGAGAGTAACAATTACTGAGTTGTGCTTTAATGCATCCCCCAAATGTTGTGCTTCAACATCTCCTAGTGAATTATTGTAGAGAACTAGTGTGGTAAGTGTCTAGACGGAAAGTGGAGGTAAATATATGTTACAGATGAAGAGAGAAGATCAATTACTGTGTTGTGCTTTAATGCTACACTCAAATGTTGGGCTCCCACATGTCCGATTTTATTAGATCCGAGATTTAGTGTGGTGAGTGCCTAGATGAAAGAGTTTAGGTAGAGATTAGTCATCAATAAAGCAAGAATAATAATTACTTTGCTGTATTGTAATACATCCCCCAGATATTTTGCTCCAGTAGCTTCGATTTTATTTGCCAAAAGATTTAATATGGTGAGTGTCTGGATACAAAAGAGCAGTTAAAGACATGATATAGATGAAGATAGAATGCTAATTACTGTATTATGTTGTAATCCATGAGCCAAGTGTTGTGCTCCTGCATCTTCAATATTGTTATGTTCAAGATCTAGTGTGGTCAGTGTCTAGATGAAAAAGTACAGGTGAAGATATTGTATAGATGAAGAGAAAATAATAACTACTGTGTTGTGTCGTAATGCATCACCCAAATGTTGGGCTCCAACAATTCCAATTTCATTAGGCCAAAGATTTAGTGTAGTGAGTGTCTAGATGAAAAAGTGTAGGTAAAGACATGACAAAGTTGAAAAGAAAGAATAACTGGTCGGTGTTGTCTAAGATCACAGAAGTAAATTGAATATTGTTTTGATATCGTTCCAGAGCCTATGGTTATCATTCTGAAAAGCTCTATAATGGTACATACTATATAGTTTTCGAGAGTGATACATGCATAGTAAAGTTTTACCGATTACTTTTTATAATTCTGAGATATTCGTGAAAAAAAGAAAAAAATTTCTTGTGAATGAATAATCGTTGTAAATTATTTCTGTACAGAACAATTTCGAAACATTGCATTACATGCTCGAATATGAATGTATCGCAGTAAATAATTTATAATGTATTAGAGTATGGTGCACTGCTTATTAGTATCCTATCAACAATCATTTATGCTCTCAAAGAAATTTCTAAAACGTCATTTCTAAGCGGATATACTAGTTTATAGATCGTTAATTACTTTCAAAATCTGATTTTCCTTATCAAAATGGTATATAAAAAAGTATTTGGATACACGTAAAAAACAAATATCGATGTTTTCTTCCTTTTTTTCGTTCTTATACAAACATTGTATGTTTATGATATCATATCTAGTTTGAAACGTGGAGTATTTAGGAGAGATTGGAAAAAAAAGAAAAAAGCAAATTATTTTCATTATGTGAGAATAGAAAAAAGAAAATTTTGATGAAAGATTGATAACTGATAAATTATTTCAAGTGATAGATATTTTATTCACATATATTTTATTGAGATTATCCTATTTAAATAAAGATTGTACAAATGAAAAATCATTGAATAATCATTAGATAAAAATTAGGCTGTCATAATAGAAAACAGCTTACCTGATATCGATCATAACTATCGATGATGTCGTTAAATCGCTGACATACGTTTCTCATTGAGCAGAGAATGGTGAAATCTGATTGATTGTCCAAAATTCGGTAGACAAGTTCTACCGGTAACGTAATGAAGTTAGCGACAGTTTGATCAGACATTATAATATGTTGTTGAAATGTATGTTGCGTAGCCTTATATGTTGATTATATGATGTATTATTAGTTTTTCTTCCGATTAAACGAATACATGCTTGTTTTGTTATTGGTTTCACATGATGATGCAATTACTTGCTAGGAGAAGAACCTGAAAAACAACGATGTCACTTTCAACAACACAACTATGATAGAAAGTGTAATTTATGTTTTTATTATGATTATTTTAGCAAAATAAAATGATATATAATAAATATGACTATTTTTTTCATTGATGTTGAAAATGTAATTTGTCATTCGATCATAAAATCAAATGAAGAGATTTTATAAGTTGGAATAGAATTTGTTTTCATGAAATAAAGTAAAATGAGTGAATCGAGGAAATAAAATTAGACCATTAATTTCATGGTTGACGAATCTTACTAGAGCTTGATCTATTATGAGAAAAAATATCAAAATAAATCTTCGTATAGTATGAAAACTTCGTGTCGATTAACTGATATAATTTTACATGGATTTCAATTTTGATCATGTACAAGAGTTAGTCGGTTAAAATCTTTCACCATCATAATAAATATGGATATGATCAATTAGTAACAAATGTAAATAAAGAAATCGTTTTCTCAAGTCAGCGTTTTTAGACTACGTAGGCATTTGTGTGGACATAGAGCTGGAGAGAGAGAGAGCCATTTAGTCGTACTGCTTGTATTCAACTGATAGCATGGCTTACTCATGACAAAATTCTGTTGGAGTTGGGTCTAGTCATAATAAACAATACTAGTTTTAGAAGCTGAGTGAAATCAGTATCAAATTACATAATAAAAATTTTAGTTAAATGGGTTGAGTCTGTTTTAGAAATATTCAGAAAACAAAAAATGTCGACAATTATATCATAATTGTTCTTTTTTCGAAAAAAAATATTCGTGTACTGAAAGTAATCAATAACAGTGAAACTTTTGTTAGCGTTTAGTAAGCTTGTAGAGCCGTTCTTGTCATATACAGTGATAGTAAAAATAATTCTTTGTTTTCCTACGGTATTTGATTACTCTTGATCTAATGAAATAGTAATTAAATTTCGATTGAGTTTTTTGTTGGAATGGGTGATACCATATGCTATCATCAGATATGATACTTTCCAAAGAACTTTTAATCCATGGAAGATCTATCGTGCTATGAAAAGTAAGTTTTTCTAAACATTATTTCCCTAGTTATTTTTTATTTTATTTTCTAATTATAGAAAAAAAATTTCTTATCAGAGCAAGGTTAAATATCTGTCTGTTCACAATATTTTTATTAATAACTTTAAATACTTTCAATATCACATGAATAAGATGATATAAATCAAACGTTGTCATATTCATCGATTAATAATTATGGAGTATCAGGTGACCGAAACAAATAATTTGAAAAGAGTACTTAACAATAACGGATAGATGTCACGAATAATCGGTTATAAATTATTTCATTTTCCATATAAAATGCTATTGATAGGTTAAAATACACAGTAAGTTAGTTACGGTTGTCAAGTATAGTGCAACTATATCATTCATTCAACATTTTTCTTCTATCAGTCATGGTTAAATTACATATAAAACATGGTGACGAAAGTCAATTTCTATATGAAACAACTACAAATACACCAATTGATAATTTAACTAATCAAATAGCATTGATATACAATGGTCGACTTAAAGTACATCGAATTTGTAATGGTAAGGAAAAAAATTAATAAATCATTTATTTTCTTTTAATCTAATTTAATTTAATTTTTTTTTTGTAGAAATGTCAATGTTAGCTAAGCATGGTGTAACATTACCTGTTAATATGCAAGGTTTAACTGATGAACAAATAACTGATTTAAAATTAAAAGATGAATATGCTGATACATGTATACCAATGGATGGTTATGTTGAAGAAGAAGATGGAACTGGTAGACGAAATGGACGAGGTAAAAATTATATATTTTAAAGAAATTTAATATTTAAATTGTGTTTAATTTAGCTCCGACAGAAAAAATGCGATCCATATTAGAACGTACAATACAAGAAGCAAAAGATAAAATTTCTAAAGTATAGACAAAAATAAAATGAAATAAATCTAAATAATTATTAATTTTTCTAGAAACTAGTTCAAGCTGATCAATGTGTAACATGTGATCAGGTTAATGAAGCATTACAACAATTAAAAGGTGCTGTTATGATTGTTTATCCAATGGGTTTACCACCGTACGATCCAGTTGAACTTGAATTTAAAAATCAAGAAGAACTTGAAGGAACACAAGTATATTAATTATATATTTTATGAGTCTTAACTATAATTTCAGCTTCCATTCTAAACACTGTGACTGTTCGATAGGTGTAAAATCTACTTAAATGATGTTGATTCTATAATAGGGTACATTGTCGATGTCAGATACTAAATAATCAAAGTCTTTGATGGGTTTATTATATACTCATAAAGCAGAAGTTGTAGAATAGATATAATTCATATTGTATTATCCAAGATGAAGAATTTTCTGGTCAGGAAAACTTCTTTTACACAGAGATGGGCAATTCCAACTCCGGAGTTGACGCTTTTTTATCTGGAATTGGAGTGAAGCCTTAAAAAATCAATAGAGTTGGAGTTGCTTACCCCCGGAGTTATCCATCTCTGATTTTACATCAGATCTGAAGCAGAATAAAGATATTCTATATCGTATATTTCAAATTTTTATTCTAGGATAGTCTTGATGTTATTCCAGAACCTGATATGTCATTATGGTTTAGTGGAAAAGAAATGCAACGTGGTAAACTCTTATCAGATTTTGTTGGTAAAAATGAAAAAACAAAAGTCATTGTTAAAACTCAAAAGGTTTACATAAAAATTTATTTCTTTAAAATCAATTGACTTTCTTTTGTTTTTTATAGAAAGGTAATTCTGCACCCGCACGAGAACGTGTTGTATCCGAAGAAGAACAAAAACAAATGATGGCTTATTATTACAGAAAACAACAAGAACTTAAAGTAAAACAATAAGAAAAAAAATTATAATTTTTTTAATTTGATTAATATAGAAACTTGAAGAAAACGAGGATCATTCATATATGGATTCTGAATGGGCTGATAGTAGTGCATTAAAACGTTCGTTTCAAGGTCTTAATGATATTAAATGGAAACCAAGATAATTGAATTACGTGTTTTTTTTCTGTTCAATTTTTTTTTTATCATTTATTCTGTTAATAAAAATTTCCCAACGAAATATTATCACCGGATATTGACTATACTAAATTCTTTGTTTTTATACATCATAAAAACCTTTATGAGTTCGTCCATTATAACGATAAACAGGTAATTCATTAATTTTTCCATCATATTTAGTATCTGTTTCTGGTGATAGATAACTATCTTGTACTTTAAAATATTTTTCAATACATAATATTATCGTAACTGCGAATAAAATAATACTAATACCAGTTAAACAACCACATAAACAATATAAAATAAATTTTTCAGCGTTCACTATATACATTACAAAACAAAGAGAGATATTCAATTATTTCTATACATAATAAAACAAATTCAATTTTCATACCTCGAACAAACTCATATGTTTGAAGCCAATCAATAACAACCATTGATAGATATTTTCTTCATAATTCTCTATAAACATATATAGTTGAATTTTTATCTAAAATAAGATTCTTGATTTAATATATCAACAGAAAAGAACAAACAAATGAATAGTTACTTCTATTCAAATTCTGTTATATATATATACATCTTCATTCACATCAATAAGATTATTCTTGTAGTACACTTAACATCTTTCTTCTTCTTCTTCTATTTTCTTATCAAAATATGCACATATATGCAAACAAGTATGTTTCATCATCTTCTTCATTAGTAAAGCAATCAATGTCTATGGTTTGTAACAGTCTACTGGTTAACTTCGACATTCCTAGTTATTTTCTACCTCCTACAGATAGATAATACCATACAGTAATATTATCATCATCAAATTTTTTTTATCTTTCTTTGAGAGTGTTTTGTTAAGACAATTGCTTTGATGTTAATGTACGTTCTTGCTAACTGTTGTTATTATTTATTATCGACACATATGGAGATGGAGAAAAAAAGGCAAACAATCATTGTCTTCTTCTTCGTCGTCGTCCAATTCCATCGAATGGTTCCGTATCATTATAACAACGAAGAAAAACATCATTGATTATCTCATCAAGATTTTTTCTTGAAAGATTAGTACAGATTTCCATTGATTCTCGTGTTTGATTTTTAACACATACTGAATGTTGATTTTTTAATAAATATGGTCGCGAGGATGATGATATATGATTAAATAAAGAACATTGATTTGTTATTGCTGCTGCACGAATTTCTGTACATGCAAGATGATGCGGATTATTGAAATCAATATGTACACGACAATAATCATATGCATGAATAAGTTCATGTTCTAAAATAGTACATAATTCTTGTGATGAATAAAGATTTTTTGGATTTAGAACAATTTGACATGTTGAACGATCAAAACCACCACGAATATTTTCATTAGTCGATTCACATACTAAATGACGATCGAAATCAAATGGACAACCAGAAGATGATAAGGCATTTAATAAATGACGAATAGATTCATTTGATGTAATACATTGATATGCTTGTTTATAACAATTACGAATTTCTGATGGTATTTCATCCGACATTGTTTAATTAATCTAAAAACTTTAAAATAATAATAAATCTATATATAAAATAGAAATTTGCATGATTAGTACAGTAGTAAATAGTAGGATTAGTCATCTTGTTTATAAAGAAGAATTAAAAAGAAAATATCGTTTACTGTTCGTATACGTGTATTTTAATTCGAATAGAACTGTTCGTTTCTTTTCGACGACAGATGTTATAATAAATAGAAATATTTAATCTATTTTTTAAATGAGCATTATAAAAAAGATTTTTCTCTATATAAAATGAGGACAAAGTAATAATTAAATACAACAGAAAAATTTTCAATCTGAAAAGATTTGCCCATAATGGAATGCCAACTAATGTATAGCTACAAAATAAACTGAATTGTTTGAAAATTGCTGATTTATGAAATATGATAGAAGCACAAACGAACGAGCTGCAATCAATTTGTCTTAATTTTTAATTGTTCATTGTTGTTTACTACTCAAAGAATCTAATTAGAAGGTCTTGATCCTCATCACTGATTCCTAACTATTCATTCAATTGTATGCTATCGTTACCTGATATTCGGTTATAATATTGAACGAGTGTTACACTTTCTTTCTAGAAGAAATCAAAATTTATCAAGATCATATTCATATATAAAAACAAGCTGTGATAAATGTTCTTCTTTATAATTAAAATGTATTATAAATAATCTGAGTCGATTATCAATATTTTCGAAATCTATCAATCCTATCATTTATATTGATTTGATGAATATGAGAAAATATAGTGTTAATATAAATTCATTCATAATCATCATACGATTATATATTGTTCATCACTTATTGTAAGATCAATGATATTATCTAATCAATTTTTCTCTTTTAATACATATGATATAGAAAAGAATATTAATTTGTTCGCTAACATAGCTTCAGTGAGCCATTCATGTATGAATACCACTTTCATACGTCATATTTCAAAGTTCGTCAAAAACTTCGATGTTTAGTTTACTGTCATACTGTTAATGTCACTGATAAAGGTAAGTAATCTTTTCTTGATTGATGCATAAATTAACCTATCAAATAAAAGAATAAAAAAGAGTTTATTTTGTTTTTTTCACTCTTAATTTGATAAGATGGGTACAGCATCATCGCAGATCGACGGAGAATACCAACCAAGTTTTGGTACTTTTCATAATCTAAAAGCAATTGATATTGATGGAAATGAAAAACCAATGTCGGATTTCCAAGGAAAAGTTCTTATGGTTGTTAATGTTGCCTCATCTTGTGGTAAAACTGATCGTGAATATACACGTTTAGTTGATTTATATTCTCGTTATCATGATCAAGGTTTTGAAATCTTAGCATTTCCATGTAATCAATTTCTATTTCAAGAACATGGATCATGTTCAACAATAAAATCTTTCATTAAAAAATATAATGTTGAATTTCCTATGTTCGAAAAAATAAATGTCAATGGTAATGATACACATCCTATATATACTTGGTTAAAACAAAGTTACCCAGGTCGTGTAACATGGAATTTTTCCGGAAAATTTTTTATTGATCATCATGGTATACCACGTGCACGTGCCAATGATAATTTCGAAGAAATTGAACAAATTATTCAACGTTTATTAAAAGAAAGAAATGATGAACAAACAAAACATTAATTTTTCGAAATAAAATATTATTTTTTGATTTGAGATGATAATAATATACTCAATTATATTTTTTTCTATCCTTCGAGCTATTCAGTTGAAATACAATCAGTTTGTAATAGAAGGAAATATTGAAAAACAAATGATCTTCTATGACATTTATTTTTTTGTGTGCGATATATGAAAAGGAAGTCCAATTATTCAAGTGATAAAGTGCCAGAGGGTGAATGAAAAAGAAAAAAAAAAGAGAAGTGTTACATGCCGTATGTTTTTTAGTTACAGTATAATATAAAAAAAGGATGTATTCAAACATTGAGAATTGTCTGGATCTAATAATGACAAATAAACGACCATACGATGATGAGTAAGTATGTCTGAGGATTTTTCAAGTGAAAACTGTTTGTTCGAAAGAAATAAATTTTTCGTTTGAAACCATGACTCTTCATAAAACGAATCTATTTTAATTAATGATTTACACTATATGTCTAAACGTTTTAGAACATTCTATCACGCCCTATACTTATTAAACATGCTTGAACAACCGATAAATCCGGCAAACTTATCAACATCTCTATATTAATTGATCGTGACAAATAGACATCGATAAAGAACGAAAACTTTCTCATAGTCAGATGTAAATATGAAGGTTAAACCGTAGCTAAAGAATTCTATTTGTAGTGATTACTTATCTAAATACACACCTTTTTTCCTCTCTTAAATATCTTGATCAACAGGTAACTCTCTAATATTTTAAATTATCCTCGTGGTGTGAAAAAAATCATCGATCAGATAATTATCAAATAATTTTATCTTCTTTTTTTTCAACCAATAAATCGATATAATTATATACGACATAAACCAGTAGGAAAGCATATCGTAATATGAATTTTTTCATTTTTCTATATTTTTCTCATTACCTCATATATGATGAATGTCAAACACGATTAGAAATAATCATGTGAATTTTATCATTAAATATAAACCAAAACGAATGAGATCATCAAGACAAAGATGATTTGTCAATTTACATTTGCTCATCTTTGATCTCGTCGTCTTTTTTTGCTGTATCATATATAAACGAACGAAATTATTCATTTCTTTTCCTTTTATTCAGGTTAAATATATTCGCATCAAGTATGGATTTACGCAAACAATTTCTCTCGTATCTTAATCAATCGGAATCATGTGAATTATTTTATAATTATATGAAATGTGAACATTTAGCATATGTATTAGAATTTTATTTAGCTTGTGATGGTTTAAAAAAATTACTTGATGATAAAAATACTCAACGAACAATTATCGAACTTATTTATAAACATTACTTATCAAATGGTAAATGTTTATCGTCATCATCATCATCATCATCAAAAAAATTCTCTTTAACAAATGATTTACTCTATTCAATAAAACAACGTTTAATAAAACACGAATATCATATTAAGTTTTATGAACAAGCACAAGAATATGTTCTTAAGTATATGTTACAAATGTGTTATCCAAAATTTCTTATTGAACAACAAAACGTACAGGAAATAAAACGACAAGCATTAAGTTTATCAAGATTTAATCCAATGTATCGACGTTCCATATCAACAAGAAAACAAGAAATTTTCGATAAATTAAAACAACAATCAAATAAGTAAGACTTTATTTTACGAAACTATCGAGAGAAAAGTTAATCATCCCCTCATAATAGATTAGATCAAGTTAAACGAGCTTCAAACTGTAGAAGTGGCTGATGGGAGCGATCGACCCCCTCTTCAGAAATTTTTTTTGATTTTTTTACAACAAAAATGAACGAAAAAATAGATTCACACTACTTCGATTGGACTCAAAAATAGTTTTTAGCCGAAATCGCCCCCTTCCCTACTCAGGTATCGCCCTGATCTAGTCAGGAATCGCCCCTCCCTTCCAAAATCCTAGATCCGCCACTGAATTTGACCAATAGTTTATGTACATATATCAAGAGACTCATTTCTCCGAAGAAAACTTGAGCATGTTAAAGATTTCTGTTTTATTGTCAATCATTAATAATTTATATTCTCTTGACAATTGTATAAATATCGTTGCTTCTAAAAAGATTCAGTGTCAAATATATCATATAAAAGAAACGATATGAATATTAATTAATGATCTTATTTCTTTACTATCTAGTGTTACTAGATCTATTAACATGTCATGTCAGTATCCAATCAATTTAAGGTGAGCTGTGTTAATTGAATTCATACGAGTAAAAAATTCCGAAGTGTCATCTTTAAACCATATGTTCATATGTCACATATTCGTTTTTTTTTTTTTAAAGAAGAATTTGTCTGTAGGGCAACGCTCATCATGATGATCATCAAATAAGTATATATCGTCACACTTTCGCTTGACTACCTGATTGTAGAAAAAAGAAAAGAACAATCTGTAGATTACCCCTGATGGATGATTAAGCGTCGGTAGGTTTGCATCAAAGTATGCGCTTTTCTTTTCATCTTTCTAACTTCTAACATTGCCGGCTTCTCTCATCTTGTCAACATGAATCAGATTCAATTAGATTACACTATTATACCGCCGCCGCCGCCATCGACATCGCGCTAATGTAGAAAGAGAAACAGAGACATATACATATCTTATAGTTGAGAATAAGTGTACATTTACTTGAAGAATGACATTGTTTCTTATGCCGAATTCTTATTCTTTGTAAGTAGAACTAAGATATTGAACAGAAGAAAAAAAGAAGAATTTGTTTATTTTATTTTAGTTCATTAGAACCATCAACATTAATTGTTAACAATGAGATTGAATTAAATAATTCAAAACAATCAGTAAGTTTTTCTATTTTTCCATTGAAAATTAATCATATATGTTTCTTTAAAGCGTTTGATAAAAAAGAATCCATATGATCTTGCTCAACGAAATCCAACAGCATTTTTTGAAGAAATTAAAAATCGTCTATTAGCTTATCAAATAGGAAATCGTAATTTAAAAAATGAAATTATTGATGATGATGATCCATTTGCTATTCTTGATTTACAAATTGCAAAGACAATTGATGATGCTGATAATTGTTTATTTCAAAGTTCAATCACTTATCGAAATAATTTTACGAGATATGACTCAGGTGTTGGAACAGATTCATCAGAAAAGTTTGTTGAAATATTATTTAAATTCTTTTCTAACAATCACTTTTTCTTTTCTAGAAATTATGAAATATTTTCTTCAGAAAAACAACATTTATTTATTGATGTAATATGGTATCCATCACTCGATAGTAATAATGCTCTTTTATCAACGATTCCACATATTTATAATCAATTAACATTTAAAGAATTTCGTCATTTATTTAATAAACAAACATCATACAGGTAAAAGATCGAATTTATTTATAATAATTTTTTAATTTTTCAATTTTAGATATTTCTTTAAAACCATATGTTCACCAGATATTAATAAAGAGCAGTATGTATTCCGTGAATTAACCATGGACGATGAATTAATACCATTTTATAATGGAAAAATTTTTGTACAGTTAGATCGACTATGTTAACGATTTTTTTTTGTCAGACTTATTATATTTGTGTTGTTTTGTGTTTAAAAAATTAATAAAGTAAATTTCAAATTTCATATCTTCTCGACATAAAAAAGATTTTCAGCAGTGTTTTTTCGGGTGGGTGTCATCCACTAGATAAATCACTGATTTTCAGTAACCTCAGTTTTTGATAAAATGATTAGCGAATAATGTATCTTGACAAATGTATTAAAAGGTCGAACTTACGATATAGTTTTATATACACTTATTTTCTTCTATGTAATTCGACAAAAAAGACCTTGATATTTAAATGTTATGAGAGAAAATAGTTCTCAAAAAAATGTCAATTCTTATATGACATTAAACATTTTTGAAGATTTGTGGTTTCTTAGACAATCGCTTGCTATCGACCATTTTAAAATCTTGATATGATTAGTATTCATATGTGATTTTTTATAATTTAGTTAAATCGCTTATTTTTATTTTGTTGATCATTAGAACTCTTGTATATCGTATATTATTTTATTGCGACACTCCATCAATAGAGATTGTAGATTTTTGAGAATGAATCATAACAGAAATCAATAATACTTAATTAGAACAAGGTTAAATGTATACAAAATATTCTTATGTATAATATGAATATAATTAGAAGAAATGATGACCTTCTTTGCATTTTGCTAACGTCAAATCGTATATGGAATAACCATCAGCATAAAAATATGATGATACTCAAATGAATTGCTGGTAAGAGAAATGAATAATCAATGAGCCACATATGTTTAACTAATATGCATGCCTAGAATTTAATATTATTTATGCATTGTTAGTCATGTGTTAAGATTAATAATGTATCATACTAGTTGTACTAAAAGTACGTTACTATCTGCATATCTTACATATAGATAAACTGATAAATATTTATCAGAGAAAAACTAACTCATTCTTTATAATATAATTTCTGGAAAGACAATTTTCATCAGTTGTTTTTCATAATTAAGAAAAAAAAGTTTATGTATGTATATATATATTCTATATAATCTATATCAACAATAAAAAAAAATCAAACATGTATATATTTAAATACAAAAAGCTACGAAATAATAATCATGAATTCATAGACAATATTTTTAACTCGAATAAATAATGTCTATTAAAAACATGAGTATTAGTCTATATATATATGCATGTATATATAGTCTTGAAATTGTTTAATCTATCTACGAACAATAATGAGAAGACACATAGAAAAGTCATTCGAAAAGTTGAGATCCAAACAAAAAAGAAAAACAAACAAAGATGCTAACAACACACGTTTTTTTTTGTAAGCAGGAAGAATACCACGTAAACATTAGCGATTTATTATGAGTAGAAAAAAAAGATATGGTAAAAAAATTAATTTATGTTTGTGTAACATTAAGTCTTGGTGAAGGTAAATCACCAAAAAGTTCGGTACCATCTGTACACATTAATGATTGACTTAAATCACGAAATGATTTACCAATACGTTCAAGATCATCACTATCATCATCATTCTGAAAGAAAAAAAACGAAAAAAAATGAAAATTTAATTCAGTTAGCAAAAAATTTACCTGTAGAGGAATAAAACAAGGACGAAATGCAATATCTTTTGGTACGGATGTAGCAAAATTGGATACATTATCTTTACTACTAAACCAACGTGTATTATCAAGCATTGAATCTTCGTTTACATCATCGTCAAGATTATTGGTACGTTCAGAAAATGTCTATAGAAGAAAATAAAATTTTTTT